TCGAGACTTTCAAGAGTCATAAAGATTTCTTTAACAGTGATATTATCAACTGATACGTCATTTTCCCCTTCATGTAGGTAAGAAAAATAGTTCAAATCGAGAGCATTACTGGATTTCTTATATGTGTTTTGGAAAAAACGAGCAAATAGGTTACATATATCCTCACTATCAGTGCTATCACACTCTTCAAACTGCATGCGTGATGGGAATGAACATGACTTCATTTTTTCGTTCGCGATGTTAAAGAACGTTTTGGGATCAGATTTTATATTGTTCTCTTCTCTTGAATTGTAATTCTCATATGCTGACGATATTTCTGCCTCAAGTGCTCGGCAAATTTCAACGTATTTTTCTAAATTTTGTGACGTTTTAAACTTTTTATACGCCTTGTGTGCTTTTTGCTTCCTGTTTTTAATATTTCTGATTTCTTGTGTATACCACACAGGATATTTGGTGCTGTTCATTATTCTCTTTTGTCTTTTAGGAACGAATACTTCAATGATATTGAATAAGGTAGTATAAAATACGTCAACAGCCTTGTCCATGTTGTTTTCATCTTTTAAAAGGTTTTGCCAATTTATGTTATTCAGTCTGCTGTTAAATTCAGGAACATTTGCATTTTTAAAATCATAAACTAATTCAAAATCAACAACGCTTGGGCGTGACCTATGCGAGTCTGTGAACACTGAGTATTCAATAGCCGTATGAAATTTTTCATTCTTCCATAATGGAACTGCTGCTTCTACAATACAAACATCTTCTGTACAATTAGTAAACATAAGATCCAAATAGGAATTGAGCTGGTTACGAACATGGTTAATTTGATGAAGTCCCAAGTGGCTGCTTTTATCAAAGATTAATTGCAAAGTATCGTTTTCACCTACAATTGGTAACAACAGAGAATCATTATTGCTATCCTGTATAAAATTAACAGTATTCTGGTTAAAATCTCCATAAATATGAATTTTGGTTCTTGGATCTTCTCTTTGAATTTTCAGTTCTGTAGCAGTGAAAAACTTTTCGTAAGCTGGTTTTTTGGAAAAGTGTGGAGGAAAGTAGACAGAACCGAAAATATGTTCTTCGCCGTTTATTAAAATTTTAACCCACACATCTTCAAATTCTTTTTGGCTTTCACTTGCAATTTGTTCAGCTTGAAATGTAACATTCACAGCAATAAGTACACCACCACCTGATTTTTTACCTGATAAAAAACACAAAATTTACTACCAAAGACCTCTTCGCTATTAATACTATCAGACCAACTAGTTTCTGTTCCATTTATTAAATCATATGTGCATCCGCTTATTTTATTTTGAATTTCATTTATTTTATACGCACTACGCATACGGTTAAAATTTTGGCAACATACTGTAGTTTCACTTAAAAAAGAGCTACTTGATAAACTAGCGACATGGTCACTTACGTCGTGCTGGTCAGGGGGTGAAGTTGCTGCATACTGTCCGAAATCCCTCAAGTTATGTGAGATGCCATGATTCTCGGGCTCAGCTATGTTGTCATATTCTACCTCAGGTGAGTGCCTCAGTTGTGCCGAAAACACGCATGTCTACATGTGCACGGCTGACACGATGTAGAGGAAGAATTCCCCATGTGAATTCTGAAGACCGCTTACTGGGTACGGGTTTATAGTTAACTGCATCGTAGGTTGATAATTAACCGGTGGTTTGTTGAAGACATTTTTTGCTGCTGAAAGCAGCTCTCGATCAGGTGGAAGGTGATTTCTGATGTGGAACTGGTAGGAACTGTTGTTTTTGTTATTGCTGTTAATGTTATCCTGGTCGTTATGTCGAATGATGCTCCGATGGCCGAAAATGTTGCTGTGATTGGTACTGTAACCGTTGTCGGAATTCATGTTTCGATGATTACGATGATTTAAACTGTTGTGGTGTATGTTGTTCCTTACGTTAGAATAATTTCGCTTGTTGCTCCACAAGCGCGTTGAACTCAAAACTAGCCGTTATCATAGTTTGGCATGAGCTACAGCATGGTAATACATAAGCCCAACCCCTTGATCAAGGCATCATCAGAAATTTCAAGCTGAAGTATGTCAAGATAAGCTACAGTTTTATTCTGGAAACAGCCGAGAATGAAGGCCTTTCACTAGCGGATACACGAAAGTAGTTCAGCATCGAGAATTGTTTTGACAGCTTGGATGTGGTTCTAAAAAACATAAAACAAAGCCCGTTGGTAAACTGCTTGAAGAAAATTGTTCAATTGAAATACGTTTCGTGAATTCACAATGCAATGAAGACGACAACGAGGATTTGCAGATCATGTCCCAAATTCAACAAATTAACGGAAAGTTTGGTGTTCCGGGGATAAGAAACATGGTGAAATCAACGAAATCAATAGAGATGAACCGGCTACAGCAGATGAAATTGTAATCTATAATTAATATGGATTATATTTTCATTAAACCACGGCTGAAATCAAGTTCAAAATAAATCAACTCTCCGAGTTCGAAAGCTTCTGCACATTGGACAGTTATGTCGAACAGAGTTTCGGAAGGGAAGTAAAGCCGTTGGTCCCCGGTCTATGAGTTGATGGGTCGATAGGTAAGGTCCAGGTGTGGGAGTTGCCTTCCTGGCGTCGGTAGCATTGGTGCTCAGCACGGAAAACAAGATCGACGGAAAACAAATCAAGGAAGAAAAAAATGTCAAACAGAGTTCAAAAATCCAAGATTTGCTAAGGGAAGTCGAAACGTTGCCATCTTGCTCAATGGTACGTTACACACATTGTACAAATTATACGCAACATGCTTGGTAAGCATTATTCAGAAAAATTAATGCAAGGCAATATTTAAGCTCTGAAATACCCTTAAACATTAATTAGACAATTTGGAGAAAAATGCATATTTTGGTAACACATCTTTGTATCCCAGAAAATGTTATTTGGCTTATAGAACTGCAAGATATAAACTCTAGGAAGATTTTATGAATTTTTAAAACTGCGATTCTCCTGTTCAGGTAACTTTTTTTGATATATCTCGATTACTTTTTCGAAGAGTCGTACCAGTTTTTGTAAACAATGCATTTGATCGTCGATTTGGCGTAGCTGGTAGCTCGCACACGCTTACTAACACCAGTTGTAGGTGGGGGAAAATTTCCCATATCTGATGGTAGTGTTAGCATGCATGGGCAAGCTACCAGTTACGCCAAATCGACGATCAAATGTATTGTTTACAAAAGCTGATACGTCCTTTTGAAAAAGTAATCAAGATTTGCTTTTTCCGACATCCAACTAAAACATTTAGGCTCATTTTTTGCAGGAGACTCTTTGATTTTATACGAATTCATGATTCCATGAGATGTTGGAGATCTAGATCATAAACATATCAATACAAATCTCATCTCATTTTTTTTACAAAAGAGACGTATTCAGAGCAATTCTGTAGCAATTCTGCTGAAAAAATACATGATTATCTCCTTGGATTTGTTTTCCGTGCTGAGCACCAATGCCGGCCTCTAAACGTGGTCTCTGTTCCGGAACTACCCATATGACGTCTGGCATCTATTTCCGGCCTCTACACGTCATCCCTATTCCGTTTCGTGTCCTCACATTGCACAGCAACTTCTTATATGGATAAGCTTTCTAGACATAACATATTAAGGAAGTTCATGTACACACTTGCGCCTCGTAGTGAGAACTGAACAACTTTGCTGAATACAGCAACGTTCTATATGGCCAGGTTCTCGAGATACAGTTCATATAGGAAGTTCACATGCACACTAGCGCTGCGTAGTGTGAGAGTTTTGAACTAATATGAACACCATCCGAAAGGATATGATCACCTGAACAACTTTGCTCACAACAGTATCCTTCTATATGGTCAGGATTTTTAGATACAGTTTATATAGCAAGCTCATATGCACACTAGCGCTGCGTAGTGAGAGAGTTCTGAACTAATATGGACACCATACAAAAGGACTTTGTCAATTTAACAACTTTGCTGAAGACAGTAACTTTTTCTATGGCGAGGATCACGAAATATTCTATGTTGGACCTTTATTGGATAATCCACCACAGCCCCTATTAGTGAAAATCCCATAAGCTGTGGGTATCCTTATTCGCGGATAGCCCGGCAATAAAGATCCAGCAATACTGGATACCGTCAATAAGGAATCTGGCAATAAGGATTCCTGACTGTATTGTTGTCACATTTTCGAGAAAGACAACCCATTTTAAATTTCGGCTATTCCTTGATGGGCACTCATTTGCAAAAAGAAAACCAGGTAAAAGATTTAGAAGTGATTCTTGACGAAAAACTCACGTTCAAGTCGCATTTGTCGTACGTAGTCACGGAAGCCTCACGAAACCTTGGCTTCATTTTTCGGGTAGCAAAAGAGTTCCAAGTTGTGTACCGCCTGAAAGTGGCAAATCTAATTTTTTCAATTCTTGCTTGAAATATTCAAATCTTTTATCGAGTCAAACAGGCTGAATGTTATCATCACCGGGAGATAACTATGTAAGTCTCGTTGTTGCAAACAGATTTCAAGGAAGCGTTGAAATCGCTGTATCGCTCAATCTGTAACCAAAGTACTGTTCTTGCTAAAGAGTGTGGCACCTTCGGAGTTTAAGGGGCCTCATAGCCTAGTCAGTAAAGCATCAAAACCTCTCAATTAATAACTGTGCAAGTGCATTTAGAACACTATGTTGAGAGCACGCAATAAGCTAATATGCGCTAATCAATAAGCTTGAAATGCTAATAAGAAGAAAGAAGAACTTTCGGAGTTTAATGTGCTGAAAAATAGAGGCATTCGATTCCTTACCATACTCAATTTTGCCCATTCGCCATCCAGCTCCACCCACAGTACTTCACAAATAAACCACCCAGCGCCTCCGCCCATCCCCATCGCGGCCGATTCGTTACAATTTCACCGCCAACCAAGCGTCGCCGCCAAGCTTCACGCAAAGCGAACAGCAGCGAGCAGCGGTGAGTCGATTCAGAGGCATTCCATTCTTGCTTTCAGTCGCGAGTTGAATTTCGAGCAAAGAACAAGCAAAACGGTTTTTCTCTGCCTATAGAGCTACACAAGCAAGTTGATTAAAAAAAAAAGTAGCTTATCGGACATAAGCAAACCTGGAATGCGGTAGACACCAACGGAGCGTTCAGATCTCTCCCGCCCAGAAGTGTGACCATTGAACCGGTATCGATTTTTGCCTTTCACTGCCGTCTCGTTGGCAGCATAGTGGTATTTGATTATTTGAACAGTCGTGAACGGCAGATTGAGCCGAGAAGTGACATTTTGATAAATCGCGGATTTGCGGAAGGACATTTAGAAACAGAAGGGGTTGTTTAGTGCCAAGAAGTAAATCCCTCATTAGTTTGTGATAAATCAAGTGAAGTCGGAAAAAGGGGAAAATGAAGGTGGTGAATGTTAACAGTGTGAATCACCAGCATCACTTGGACGGACTGCAAGCGACGCTGATGGAAGACCCCATCACTCCGAAGGCAACTTCGGACGTTGAGGATAGTGCGTCCGGGCGAGATCCGCCGGGTGGAGATCCACAGGGAGGAGGTGGATGCTGTTCGGGAATCGTTTTACCATCCAGCCAGCCGAAAACCTATCAAATCCAAGCTCTGCTGGAACGACACGAAAATCCACAAACGGTTGTAGTAGCCGCCAAAACACCCAGCAATCCCTCTCCGTAAGTATTTATTGAAATACGATCGCGGGGGGAAATGATGAATCGTCGTAAACATCATTTTTCATCTTCACAGCTTGCCAGATCAGTGGCCGAACATTCGCACTTGTTTATAGCTTAGATTCCGATCTGTTGTTTCCGCACTCTCGTCTTGTTGTTTTGCCTCCTGTGTGAACATACCACCAGGCTTGAGAAAATTGAAATGTTCCGATAGAGGAAAATACTCGAGTGATGTTTTTACCCCTCGCTCGCCCCCCCGTAGGAAGAAAAGAAAAATGTGAGACTACGATAATGCGGGAAATGAAAAGTTTTGCCCCAGAGCAGCTGACGAGCTGGGAACATTTGCGGGTCTAGCCGAGGTAGGAAGAGAAGATTGTTGTAGCGCTGGGAATTCAAGGTAACATAGCTTCGAATGCGAATGGCGACATTGTGACGACGGGGTTGGAGATAAAAATACAGTGCGATAAAATTACGAAAGGAATGTGGATTAGCGCGCTAGGGCGAAGAACGGGAGCTGTTTTGCGAATCAATTAACAGGTAGATTAAGTGCCTTTGGCGATTTGGTTGAAGTGATGCGTTAATGGGTGGTAATTATTTTGATTTGATATCATACGATTGGAGGAAGGAGGCGTAGATTTTCAGTAGAAACGTTAATTGTATGATTTAATTAGTATTTGTGAGAAACAATGTGGCATTGTGTTGGGCATGAGTTCTTCGAGTATTTTACCGAAAGGATTAGTATTTTACGGAATCTGGATTAACGAACTGGATTAACTTAACATTATACGTTTTCCAATGTTTTTATACCGTTTGAGAGAAAATTTCATCAAATTTCCGTTAAAATCCTGTTCACGCTCCTTGTTTTTGTCATTGCACATTCAAGTTCAGATGATTAATTTTATCAAAATTCTCCAAAGGCCTGCACTTTTTCAGTAGTAAAATTTAAAAGTCATCTGCGTGATATTTTTATTAGCGTTCAGGAAAAAATATGCAAAGAGAAATCAGTCAGTTATAACTTGCTGAAAGCTTATCCACCCACTAGACAAAAATTGAACATCCAGAAATTTAGCTAACAATCGTACCAACTACTACCAATTTAAACAAAATAAGAAAGGGCAACTAATATCTTGCACAACAAGATAAAAACAACAGAAACCTGTTGTAAACTACCGCAGATATTACAAAAATGATGGATGAGTTAAGAAACCTTGGAAGGCCGACCTTCATGATTAGATGTTCAATTGATGTGAACATATGGTATCTTTGAAAGATTTTGAAGTTTCAATAACGGTTAAAAATATTTATCCTTTGAATGACCTTTCCTCGCGGAATGACTGACAGCTCAATGGTGTTCCAAAATCCCAGTGTAAATTGTTTCGTAAACATTGTCGTGTGGGAATAGTCACATCAAGCGAAGAGTTTACAAATCAAACCATGCTTACGATTCGATGTTCGATTCCCAACCAATGCTGTGAAAAACGACCGTAAAAAACTATATTGAAAAAGCAACTTACGCAAATCTGTGTAATGTTATAGCTGAAGAGGTCGTGTTGCCGAAAACGGGAAGGTACTGTTTTCAGTATTTTCGTACTTTTTAATAGTATTGAAAGCTGCTACGAAGTATTTACAAGAAAAACAATACTTCTGTCTCATTTTTTCTTTGAAACCTTATTGACAGATTCTAGCAGGGTGTATCCACTCTCTTCAATACTATGCATAGTGTATACCTTAGCTCAGTCGGTAAAGGTGCAGCTACAAAGCAAGACCATGGCGGCTGGGTCGGTCCAGGAATTTTTCGAGCTGGACAATTTTTGGACTTCCCTGGGCATATAATATTATTGTACTTGCCACACAATTACACTAATGCAAAAATGGTACAGGCATCGAAAGCTCTCAATTAATAATTGTGGAAATTCATCTAAAACACTAATTTTGAGAGCACGCAATAAGTAAATATGTGATAAGCAATAACCTTGAAATGCGAAGGAGAAGAGAAGAAGTGTATACCAGCATTTTCACACTAGATGGCGCTAGTCTAAAAATAATCAATTTTCATAGTTAAAGATGCTAATTTCAAATAACAGACTAAAGTGGTAATTTTTATACGATAGATGGAGGAGATGAAAGTATAGAGTTAATAGTTCCGTTAGAGTACGGCAGTGTGAAAATTGCATATAGATAGTAGATAGCGAGCTAGGACAACTTTTAAGGAAGGTACAAATCGGTTTGATCATCTCTCTTTACCAAACCCCCCCTTTGGAAAGGGATGGTGAGGGGTGTCCCTGCCATCACTGGCAAAAAGAGATGAACGCGCTTTTGAAACAATTTCTAGGTCCTTATTGTTAAGATCAATGAAGCGCTTTGGAATTACGAGTACTGCATATAAATGGTTTGAAAGCTATTTGTCTCACAGAACTAAACGGACTGTTTTTAATGATTCTGTTTCCAGTCCTGTGGGAATAACCTTGGAGTTCCCAGGGAAGTGTATTAGGGCCCCTGTTATTTATTATGTATATTAATGACTTGCGACGTGTATAACGATGTTGCGACATAAATGTTTTTGCAGATGATACTGTGTTATTCATTGCAGCTAAGGATTTAGACGATACCGATTTGCGTTCTCTAAGTAGATGGTTGAAGTATAAGCAGTTAAAATTGAATAAAAGTGAAACTTAATATATGGTAGTTTCGCGGAATCAATTGAATGAGAACGTCTCTGTTGTAATTGATGATGAGACTATTGATCGCGTTCGGGAGATTAAATATCTTGGCGTGATTATTGATGACACACTTAAGTTCAACTCTCACATTGACAATGTAATCAAGAAAATTGCCAAGAATTATGGAATTCTATGTCGACTGTAAAACGATTTAACTGTTGCCAGTAAAATACAGCTATACAAAACAATCATCTCTCCTCATCTAGATTTTTGCCTTTCCATTTTATTTCTGGCCAATGAAACACAAATATCGAGATTACGCGTTTGATTTTGAGATGTAATAGATTCAATACCTCAACTTTGATGTAAGACGCCTTACAATGGTTGTCGGTGAAGCAAAGAATTGTATATTTGACGATGGTGTTCATTTTTAAAGTAGTTAACGGTTTGTTTCCTCGATATTTGTGTGATCGAATTGAAAGAAGAAGTGACTTTCATAGATATAATACTAGAAACGCGGTTGAAATAAGAACACCACATTTCTTGACTTGTGCTTCACAAAATTCATTATATTATAAAGGAATAAATGTTTTCAATTCGATGCCTAGACATATCAAGCGTTCCGCAACACTTACAGAATTTAAAGGACACTGCATTTCACTTGTTAAAATTGCCTTTTGAACAGTTATCCAGTGATTTTTTTTTATGAATTGAAAAATTATGTATCTTGACGAAGTTATCTCTAACGGATTATTTTGTATGGACAGCTGCCATTATGACTTTTTAATAATACTTGTAGCACTGCAAAAACCTTTTTTTGTTCTCCACGATGGTAAGTGATGATGGGTTTTTTATATTTGATGTAATAGTAGTAGATTTAAAAACAAAGTAGTCTACAAAGGTTTGAGCCTCGCGCGCGTATTACGAATATTTTAGGCGAATAAAAAGGCGAACTAAGAGGTGGACACCTGAACTTTTTCACATTTATATCGCTGTGAAGCAACTGTAAACTCTAGAGGGAATTTATATCTGTAACTGTAATCAGTTCGATTTTGTTTGCAAACCTGGTTAAAATGTCATATATAACTATCTTAAAGATAAATCGTCCAGCTCAAACCTTTGTATGGGTAAGAGGTGGGAACTTGGGGATACTGAAAGATCCAGATGGAGCCAATAACATTTCCGAAGAAAATTGGAAGACACTTCTGGGGGACGTTGAAAGAAACTGCCAGATAAAGAAGAAATAAATTTCCAGGGGAACTCGGAAAATAAAACTTCGTGTGGCAATTGGAAAGTCGGAAGACATTTCGTAGTGAATTTGAAAGTCTTCGTGCATTTGAAAGTCTTCGCCAGAAGAAATTTCAGAGGGGAATAGGTAAAACAATCCAGATGAAAAGAAAGACACTACCGGAAAGGAAAGCTGGATTAAACTTCCAGAGAAAGTAGGAAAACTTTCGGAAAAAGTTGGAAAAATGTCCCAGGAATTTCGGAAGAATCTTTCAAGAACAGTAACAAGAATGTGTTGTGTGATGTCATGATAAGAAACTGACAAGCGAAACCGGTATTCACTTCCAGGCAAGCTGGGAAAAATTTCCTGGTGAAATTGCAAGAGGCTTCCAGGAAAAGTTGAAAGGAAGTTACAGCGATTTCTGGGGATGCCGGAAGAATTTTTCAGAAGAATTATGAAGAGTCTTCCGTAGGAAGTCAGAAGGAACTTTCGGGTAATATGGGACATAATTTTTGCTTTCAGAGGAAAGATAGGGAAAGAGGGAAGATAGAAGATTAAGTTGGAACGGAAAGTTTGAAGAAATTTCAGTTGAATGATGGAAGACATTTTCGGAGAAAGTTGTACGAAACATTCGAGAGAAATCGTAAGAATCTTACCGAATAAGGTGGTCGAAATGATCAAGAGGAAGTTGGAAGAAACTTCCAGGAAATTCTTCCAGAGGAAACCAGGGTGAATCGTGAGAAACATCCGGGGGGAATACTTGCAAATATTCCGGATGAAAACAGAATATTAAAATTTATTTAAATATGTTTGATGTTTCATAAGTCGAATGTAACTATCAAAAATTATATCTGGTAAACGTACTTACCGATTCCCGGGAGAGCCAGCAGATACTTCCCGATTCCCGGTAACCAGAAATTGCCAGGAATTGGAAACACTAGGCCCATATTATTTTAAATAAGTTGCCACATTTTCTTAAAATCTATGGTCGTGCCAAAATTGCTCATGTGTTTAAATTCCAGGGCTGTTACAACAGGCGCGGATTTCGCGAATTTCACGAATTTCGTGATTTTCGCGGATTTGAACTTTCAGTCGCGAAAATCGCGGAAACATTA